ATAAACTTACAAAACAAATGTATTAAATTACATTTATAATAAATGTAATCTGTTACATTCACTGAGAAAAAGAATGTAATTTGAGTTACTAATCAAAATGTTGGTGACTACAGAGGGGTTACATCCGCAGTGGCATAAGTTAGTTACAAGGGGCCTCAGTGCACGCTATTATGATGGGCTCTACTGCATACTATCGTGCCCATATCGTCTTGTCACGTGATCAGAGACTTGACATTATATAACAACAACATACATATTACCCAGCAATCATCATTTCATATCTGTATACAACAAAAAATACCAAAGAAAATAGGAAATTATTTATTTATTTTAACTATTTTAATTGTGGATTTATAGAATAGTTGATTTATAGTTAAAGAATAAGCATGTAATTTGTTATAGATGCTACTGACCGTTTTACAAATAAAGAAAAATAAACATGACAGAGATGGGGTTTTGCCCTTTTCAAGGGCACATATAGCACATGGCACTGTTTTTAATTTAATGAGAGTTCATCTTTGAACACAGGCATATTCTCAGGGTGGCAATAACTCATAAGGGCCCATTCTCCATCCAACATGTTGTCCAACACATTGTTGGAGGGCCCTTCTCTCTCTTTAGGCCCAACTCACAGGCTCCAGTGCAACCACACTGCCTGTACGGTCTATATTTACTCCTCTGTACATCTGAATATATTTAACATTCATTCTGTTGCTTTGCATCTTTTCACCATGCAGGATGCCTTCTTTTGTTGTGGCCTATTTCCCAGCAATTTTCCAGCTTAATTACCTAGTTATAGGTATACCATGCGGGATTGTTGGTTACTGTTTGCAAACATGCTTGCAAGTAAAGATAAAAGTGAAAGCCAACCCCAGATTCACTCTTATTTTGTGTTTCATCTCATTATATTAGCATTTTTTTTTCAGCACTGTGTCTCTTGGATGCCTGCTGCTTACAGTCTGGCTTCCGGTCGCTACCTTTCATAAAGCCCTGACCTCACCTGAGCACTGTGGGGGTACCCACCCATAAACATCCCAAACATGGAGATAAGTAGAAAATAAGGAAATACATGCAGAGTCTCTGCAGAAAAATACACCACCACACACTTACAGTGGGTTATAAGTGATGATTGGGAGGAGTTACATCTGTATGAACCCACACATTGTTTTGTATGAAAATCCTGCAAAGTATACCTTTAAAACATTTGTTAGAAAAGTAATCAATTTACATTACTTTGATTTAGCGATTAAAATAGCTACTTAATACATTTTTAACAGGGCAACTAGTAACTATTACATGTAAAAAGTAACCTCCCAACACTGAGTACCCGCTGAGACATGATGTGTCCAGAGTCCTCACTGAGACACGTCTCTGCCAACCTCAGTCTGATTTTTGTCATGAAAAGAAACATTTTTCCACTAATGTGAAAAGAGCTCCAGACAGCTGCTACAGTTGTTCAGAAGAACGACAGGCCTTGGTTGAGATTCTTGTTTGTAAAGTGACAGAAAGGTCATGCTAGTTGCCATGACAGCCACAGCTAATTGCTCTTACATGAGGCAGTCTGAGAGTGGCTGGCCAAGGCTGAGGATGCAGACAGGACAAGACAACAAAGGAGTTTGGCATTCCTTAATGCACCCAGAAAAAATTTGTAAAGATTGTATTCACTTTGAATTTCACTCATCTTTTGTTGAACATTTTCATGTAGCTGCACAGCCTGTTACTGCAGTTTCACATGAATGAAACGATCAGGTTGGGTGTATGAACAAAAACACTTACATGAGCGTGATAAACAGCTGATAACAACAGTGTTCCTGGTTTAAGTTTGGAGGGGTAATTACTGGACATTATTTTAATCCCTCTCACGGTGACAGATAATGGCGTTGCTATTCTCATATCAGGGAGAAACTCAGCTGTCGCTAATGAAGAACAGCTTGGGCAGAGCCTTCAATCTGTGACGCTGACATCTCAGCCAAAGACCCCAATAGTTGCCAGCTCTGCTGTTGTGTCCTGACTGTGAGGTAAGTCAGTAAATCTGTCAGCATTACTAAGAAAAGCAGAGGGTCTGTTCTGCTAAATCAGGCAGACAAAAAGCCGTGTAGCCCCGGCTATGAATCAGAGAACAGAATGTGAGAAACTGCCTCGATAAAGACACACACACACACACACACACACACAAGTATTCACTGGTGCATATCCGTACATACAGTATGCACAGATGCAGTCAAGGGCACACAGACAAAAGCCACAGAAGCACAAGCACCCACACACCCACCTTCACTTTGCTGTTCTTAAGCAAACAGCCTTAGGCTCAGTGAATGAGCATGTCGGCGGTGTGGGCTGACATTCTGTCACACAAAGAGTGTTTGTGGAGACAGATGCCTCCTCAGCCTCCTCCTGTCCATTTACCTAACATATAAACACAGCCTGAAATATCCTCATTTGTCCCATATAGATGCTTTTAAATCAGGCAAGACAGAGAACATTTATCTCTCAAATTTGGCATTAAAAGAGGAAACTGGGTTAAGAAATATATATATATAAAAAGCATACCTTCAAAGGTATGCAAAAGTAGGCTATGTCTGGTGGAGCTGATCCTCATTACAGTGAAGGGAGACAAAGAGTAGCGCACCCTGCACATAGATAGACAGGTATATCTGTGATTGGGTAGCTCTAGCACCAGAGGATGAGGAGGCAGGCAGGCAGGCAGGCAGGCAGGCAGGAAGGCAGGCGATGTGCCAGGGTTCTCCCCACAGCCAGAGACACTCTAATTAAGGAGCACAGTGGGGAGAGGGGGCGAGAACAACAGCTCTGCATTGTCACATAATGATTTTCTTATCATCTCTAGTACAGGAAACACTGCACATCTCCCGTCTGATGGGTATGCACGTCTGTGTGTTTCCTGGGAGCCCCTCCTGAGCGGCCGTCTAGTCACACCCAGAAACACGAAATCACCAAAGCCTTGGTGCTATTTTCAGCGCCTGACAGGGAGAATATTCAAGTCATCCAACCACAACGGAGCAAAGCGACGTTTGATGGGAATGAACGCGAGCAGCCACAGATATATTGGTTTTAATCCATACAGAGAGCTTATTTTCACTGTCATCAATCCATTTTATAGGGCAAGGTTGTCACTGGCTATTTACATTGATGCATGTTTAATCCACCCACAATATTGCTCTGCATAATCTTTGATGCATATTTATATCTCTGGGTATATTTCTGTGATTCTTTGCCCCTGTTCCCAGATGTCCAGATGGACAATGACAGGGAGGGGAAACACCTGCAGAGAAGGGCAAAGAGCCGTTCAGTTTAATGTAAATTCTGGACACAAAGTTTATAAGTGAGAGTGCAAACAAAATACTGAGTCCATGCCTTTTTGTTTAAATTTAATCTGGACAACAATAATGCCTGAAGAAATACAGTCAGATGGGTCTTTTTACGGAAACCGTCTTTAGCCTTTCACATGAAATATCTTATGTTCAAAAGTAGGTTACATTTCCGCACTACCTCTCTGTGTGTTAGGTATGTTCAGTGTTCCACTTTTCTTTTTTTATCACAATCTGCTCCACTGCTTAGCAAGCCAATTTTCCAGTCCATCACTGTAAATCACTCCTCTGTTGAAAGGTCTACAACATAATAATAATTAAAAACAAAATATACAAATATGTGATGACATGTTCATGAAATTGTATCAGACATTTACACATTACAGCAGAAAGGGAAATAATTGGCAAATAAAGAAAACATAAATAACAGACAGTTAATGGAAAATGATAATATGATGCGACAAGAGAAGAAAAGGGATGATAATGAGAAATGAATGGACTAGACTGATGAATTATGGGAGAAAAGGCGATAAGGCGAAGGTGGGGGTGGGAGGGTACATTTGACCAGATGGGTCCTGGTCTGCTTTGTGAGAGCAGCAGATGCCCTGAGATCCTAGGCCACAGAAATGCCCCCAGCTGCTAAACATCAGAGCTCTAAAGAGCTGAACTCTGTAGCTCCGCCTTGTCACATGTGCACTCTCTCTGATATAGAAATATAGGTTAAAGGTGTTTCCTCATCCTGTAACTTTGTTGCTCCTGAGAAGATCAGCTGGATATTAATTTATATTCAGCTGTAACTTAGTTAAATAGATGCTGCTCAGAGAGCCTGTAGTGAAAAGCAAAAACAGAGCTTGTGTCTCCTGCTCTGTTTGCAGTGTTTTAGGTTTATTTGTGTGGGTGATGGCTTGGACACTTTATAGGCGTTTACAGTAACTTTCAGTTCAACAATAGATGACCCTTGAATTCTTTTGTCTTTATTAACCTTTAAATTGAATCAGGGTTTGTCTGTGTACATACAACAACTCATCTTTAAAGGGACAGTTCACCTGAAAAGCATAAATGGGGCTTACATGCAGTATTTGTCCTCTTACCTGTAGTGCTATTTATTAGTCTACATTGTTTTGGCGTGAGTTGCCAAGTGTTGGAGGTATTGGCCGTAGAGATGTCTGCCTTCTCTTGAATATAATGGAACTAGATGGCACTCGGCTTGTGGTAAAGCGGAAAAAAAAAACATCTGAAAAACTCAACAGCAATGTCTGTCTCCAGAAATCATGACCCAGTTATTCAAGATAATCCACAGACCTTGTTGTGAGCAGTTTCATGTAGGAACTATTTTCTTTTTACCAAACTACACCCACCACCTGTATCACTGCGCAGAAGGAAGCGTGCATCTACTGTTAGCTCACCTAGCACCACTGAGCTAGCTAATGTTACAGCTTAGCCGAGGAGGACACCATAATGTTTACATCTCACACTGTCATGAGCACAAGACACTTGTCCATGAGTAGATGCACGCTCCCTTCTGCGCAGTGATACAGAAGGAGACATTGCTCTTGAGTTAAATGTTGTTTTTGGCGCTTTGAGCATCACAAGCTAAGTGCCATCTAGTTCCATTACACTGGAGAAAAGGCAGACGTCTCTACAGCCGATATCTCTAATGCTCGGCAGCTCACACCAAAACAACTTAGACTGATAAGCAGAATACAGGTAAGAGGAAAAATATGTGTATTTGATTTTAGGGTACACTGTCCGTATAATAGTATATTCACAGCAATCAGAAACCTTAAAACAATCAGTTCAATGTGGTCAAACACATGGTGATAACAGTTCCCTCTGTCGTACATACACTGCTGCTAAAACTGCCCCAAGCACCATAGAAACACATGACTCATCATCTATAGCAGATGCTCTGCTCCTCTCACTGACTTTGGGCGATGAGGTTTGGGAGGTGCTGCGGGACTGTGGGTTTGTGATGATGATACAGCTGCATACCAAGCAGACACCATCACACAGTCTTCTTTGAGGAGAGCATCACCCTCTAGTGGAGCAGACAGGCAAGAGGCAGGACTGAAAAATATCAAAGATGCTTTTGGACCAAAAGAGTTTGATAGCTACATGACTGGACTTGAGATCGATCCTGACACTCCTTTGGTCTGCCACAAGTGCGCTGACTGGTGTGATAGAAAGGCACAACATTAATTAACATGATATTAAAGGTGCTTTATGATAAGAGTAATGATTTTCTTTATGTCTATATAAGCTGCTGCCGCATACAACATGCTCAGAATGCAGCGACACAAGTACTGACAGATGGGGAGAAAATATTTTTAGGTTCTCTAAGTAGTTTAAAAATCACTGAATGGCCTGACACCAGTCCATCACTCAGACATGCTTTTTAGATACGTACCTAGCAGGTCTCCAGGGCCCTCTGCAGCTCGCCTCCTACTAAGGCTCCCAAGGATCTCCCAAGGATGCATAGGGAGTCAGCATTTAGCCTCTGTGACCCTAGTTTCTGCAACAGTCTGCTTGAGGATGTGAGGCACGGACATTTTTAAAAGACACCTTAAGACTAGCTTTTACTTAAGGTGCACCAACATTTGTTGCCTCAGTTTTTAAGTCTGGTCTTTCTACTGTTTTTTATCCCTTGTATTTTGTTTATTGTCGTAAATTTTAGTCTTGCAAAATTCTACTGACTGTTGTCTATTTTTATTGTTTTGACTTTTTTGTCTGTGCTGTTTTAATCCTGCTCTGTGAAGCACTCTGGACTGCATGTTGTATAAAAGGTGCTATATAATTAAAGTTGAGTTCAGAGTTGAATTAGTGTCAACATATCCCTTGAAAGGACCAAAACCGACATCTCAGTACTTTCTGACTTCCCCGTCTGTGTCACTCATCCCTGAACCTGTTTAATCCTAATAAAGACGTAAGCATATGAGACGAATATATATTTTTATTATTAAAACATTAGTAAATACTGCTTTTGTTGGAGTCTATTTTCAGCCACAGATCTGGTGCATTACTGAATATTAACAGCAGCAGGACGGTGTATGTGGAATCAGCTTAAAACAAACTACAATGTCCATGTCCATTGTAATGAAGGAACATATCACCTGTGGTTATATTAGGGTTCTGGACAACAATGAGGGTCCACAGCACAGTTAGCTATATCTTATATAGGCTTTGGCTACACAGTGATTATAGGTATGATTCAGATTTGTTGAGAATAAGAGATTATCCTTTGCACACAATACACTACCTATGACAATGCCATATATATATATATATATATATATATATATAATCATCTCTCATATTCCTAGGAATCCTTATCTATGCATTTCACAGATTATGTGTTTTTACCACCTGTTCTGCCTCCTATGTTGCTTTTAGGCTCCAGACCTGTGATCCAAAGTTGAAAGATATACCTTACTGAATTCTGATGATCGGTAGTACTAAATAACTCTTTTACTAACCAACTGCAATGTAATCTTTGTTTTGTTGGCTCACATGCTGCACAGACTGTGTTCAGAGCTTTTTTGTGTTGTTTTTTTGCATAGTCAGTTGGCAGTTAAAAAAACTCTTTGGGAAAAGCCACCGACCTTCACATCTCTAAACAATAGTTCCATGTATCCCCTTCATAGACTAAAAACATCTCATAGCGTCAGCGATGACGATCCCTGCTTGAGGAGTGCAAAAAGTGCAAACTGGAAATCAGAGACTTTGTAACCATACAAAGAGTCAAATGTATTTGAAGGACATCCTCCGATTGTCTTCATCCATCAGTCATCTAGTGTCACTCCTTTAAGACGAAGCTCCTCTTGAACCCTGGACAAATAATCTGGATCTGGATACCCAAAACTGGAATGGATAAAGACACATATCAAAATGTAGCAGGTACATCTCTGGAACAAGGATAACAACTTTGCTTTAATTGTAAACAGTAACTTATCAATCGATAGATTAAAAGCTAAGTAAATGGGAATTATATGTTGAATGTAATTATGATGATGTTAATAGGTCCAATATTGTTGAAATACCACAAACTGTATAAATCTCAATTGAACATACTGAAATACAATTTAATGTCTTCAATATAAGTTATCAAACTCCATAGACTCCACAAAATATAACAAAATGCCTCCCCTAATTGCTGGGGGTGTAAAACCTGGATGAGGAAGGTTATTATTATCATTATTATTATTATTTCTGTTAGTTTTTAATATGCTTTAGAACTGCTTCATATTACTCACAGGCACAGCTGTCACAAAGCGTGTTTTGCAAAAGTGTAAATCTGAACTTCCTCTTTCACAGAGGTGATGGTTAAAAAAAAACATCCTATACTAAACGGGAGAAGATTTTGTACAGTGTGAGGAGGAAAACAGAAACGTATGAAAACATGGGGCTCTTTTTGGGCCTAACTACCATCATTACACCCCGAGGCTGGAGGTTTAGAGTGGAAACTCCTCCTGCGCTCTTATTGTCTACGTACATAGTGTTATAAGTCTTTGTTAGCATTTAGTTGAACCTCATACTTTACTTTATTTTTTCTGTTTTTTTAATCGTAAACAAGAGTGCAATTTCTACCATATCAAGCCTGTGGGTGTGGAGTCGGACAGTTTTTTTAGTGTTTGTTTGTTTGTTTCTTGATTTGTCTTTCTCATGTGTATTTGTTAATGGAAAAACGGCTATTATACAATAAAGAATTTGAAACATTTTTTTTTTTTAACTTAGTTTAGCTTACTGTCATCTGTACCAAAGTACAGCTGAGGCTGCACTTCCTGAGAAGGCTGAGAATCTTTAGTGTGACCCAGGAAGTGCAACTTTTCTATCATGCTGTGGTGGAAAGCCTACTGCGCTATGGGATTTCGGAATGGTTAGGAAATTTGACAGTCCAGGCCAAGGCCCAAATTCACAGACTAGTAAAGTCAGCCATGAAGATTATGGGAGTCTGCCAACATCCCAGTCTTCAAGATATATTTTTCAACAAACTATAAATAAACAAGCACAGAAAATCATCTCAGGCCCTGTTTAGACAACAACGGTTTCTCTAAAATCGGAAAAGTCTGTCCTTCGTGTTTTAAAACACTTCCGCGTTTATATGACGACGTTATTGAAACGATCCCCGTTCACACAAAACCGCAAAATCTACTGGGAACGTTGTAGTATGCACGCCAGGCCAATGGGTGGCATTGTAAATTTGCAAAGCAACACCAAGGCATGACACCACGCGCCTGCGCTGAAGCGCTTTCCTCTACAACGCGGTGATTACAAACCAAAACAAAGAAAACACAATGGTGAAAGCACGCACAGATAACTTTGTCTGGATGGATGATGAAATGACCTTGCTACTCAAAGTGACCCTGGACTATAAGGCATCAAAATTTCAAGAAAATGTTGACTGGGAATCATGCCAGTCGAAATATGCAGATATCTTGGTGGCATTTCTCCAGCAGTATCCTTCGAGTGAAACTGCAGGAGAAAAGGAGTTCCTGCAAAAAAAAAGACTCCATTACCAAAGCCCAGGTGACCTCAGAGCTAAAAGCCATCCAAGGAAAATACAGACATACCGTGGACTCTGGACGGCGGAGTGGCCACAGACGTGTGGTTTGGATATTTTTCAAGTTATGCGAGCAGATATGGGGTGGATCGCCAGCGACTTACGGCATAGAGGCCAGTGTTATGTCCCTACTGGTTTCCAATTTAACTGGTTTCCTTACCGAACAGCTGCAGATGTGCTGCGCCTCCGTCAGCAGATTCATCACAAACATACACAACATTTTACTGGCGATTTTAAAGTCACAGCCCACATCTACCACAGTGAATATGCTTCTGTAAGTGAGCACTACGTACCAGCGACATTAAAAAAAGAAAGTAAAGAAAATATGATATACACAAATTTGCTTCAAGCTGGACTCGATTTCACGTCAACAAAAAGACAATATAACACAAACCGCATGTCTACCTGTGTGAGCCACTGAGACTCACAGAGAGCAAGGCTTTCCTCAGGTATTAGTAAATTACGTCAGCATCCAGGTAACATTTTGATTTGGGCTGACCTGAGACAACTGGTTACCCTCGGCTTGCCTTGAAAATAGTTTCTTGTTCTTTTTCCACGAGTCTACAAACATATTCAGTGCCACATTACAGTCTGCACAACACTGCACACTATGACAAAGCCTGCCAAGAACCCATAACTTCCGGTTATATAGATTTTCTGCCATTTTGAATTTTTTGAAAAACACTTCAAATTGATCTCTTCCTAGGAAGTTTGACCAATCTGCATGAAACTCAGTGAACACATTCTAGGGACCAATATCTAAAGTTCCCTAATTCTCAACTGGGTGGCGCTATAACAACAGAAAAATGCTTAAAAATGGCTAAAATGCAACCAATCGCTGTGGCTCCCCCTGTGGCTGAATGTTGTTGTTTTTTTTCTCCTGTTTTTTTTGGTATGACTAAGTCATGGTATGGTATGCTGTACATACTCACGGAAACTGTCAGTGTGTCATTCTGTCAGTCAGTCATTCTATCAGTGCGCCCCACTTTTAAGACAATACAACATATAAACACTTTAACTATCTGCTTTTCTTTGTGCTTCCTCAACTTCTTATGTACAGTTTTATCCCACTAACTATTCCACTATTGGCAATGGTACTATTTTACTTTCAATAAAGCAATCGTACTATCAAATTCACAAAAACTCTGTCTGAATACATTGCTCTTCTTAATGGGTTCAGTTGACTATTTAATCTGCAATTTCCTATGACCTGTATTCCAAACACACACCATGTGAAACTGTACGTGGGCCAACTATGCACTCAATGGGTATGGACTAGTAAGAGAAACATACCAAATCACATAAAAATGAAATTTCTTTTCTTCATTATATGCCAGCAAGTAAGTTAAGTAATGTTATGGACAGTGGTGTAGTGGAGGGTATATGCAGGTATCTGGAATATACACACCTCTTTTTCTGGCCATTTGTAGTATACCCTCCTATCAGCCAAAAAACATCGGAATATATAGGAGTATACCCACTTCCTCCTCTGTAACCTACCCATCTACCTAGTAGTACACCCACCTCATTAACTAACACAACACCACTGTATATGGGTGAAAAAAAGGCGTTATTATACAGCAGTGATATGCATACCATTGTGGACCACCCGCCATGTTGGTCTTGTGATGAATGTCATTCCAGGTGATGACGTTGTTGAGGCCTGTGGTGACAGATCGTCCTACGGTGAAGATGAGTCTCCTGTCGAAGGCTTTCTTCAGCAGCTTTAGGACTTTCTCGCCTTCCTCTGTGGCTGGCAGGAAAGCAGTCCGAGAGGTGCCGCTGTATCTCACTCCAGGGTTTGGGTGTTGAGGCTGTAACATGATAAACAGCTTATATGTAACACTGATCAACAATCGTGGTCCATTTCTGATAATGCTTAAATCCTGCTTTTAGGAATTATGGCAAAACAAGTTTCATGATGCATCTTGTTGTATGATATCTGTGTTACAGATGAGGAGGCAAAGCTCATTCTAACATCTCCCTATCAGACACATGTGGGGTTGTTTCTGCTGTCACAGTTTGTAAGAAAAAGACTGACTTCTACTAACACCAAGAGGCAGAAATATTCCCAGAAAGCATCACCTATACAACAGAGACTTCAGAAACTTTAAGATGCATTCAGTGTTGCACAACATCCAAAAATATTGACCCCTCTCTCTTGCTGTCCCTCTCCTACACACACACCTCCTCCCTTTATATCCTGACCTGTAGAACATTTGGAACGCAGGGCTGCTGGTGATGGTTTTTTGTTTCTAGTACATCCAAGATGAAAAACAATGCATGTTTTCAGTATTTGCTTTGGTCTATTTCTCCAGTCTGACCCTTTATAAACACATTTATGTCATGACGTGTGTGTGTGTGTCTGTCTGTCATGGACAGACACACACACTGTTTCTGCAGTGATGTTTGCTGGTTAAAATATGCTCTAAAATGGACTGCAAATACAACTTTTGACACACATTTGAGGGGTTAAGAGTAGAGCTGAAAACATAAGGCAATCAATCAATGCGACAGAACAATTAGACGGAAAAAAAAGACATTTGAGGACATTATCGTGGGCTCAGGGAAGCTCGAATGGACACCTTTTCAATTATTTGACATTTCATAGTGAACATGGTGGACTCTGTGGAAAAGGACCCATTACAGGGTGTCTACAGGTATCAGAGAGTTAAATTTAATGCTTTTTAAGACCAGTTCACCTTAGACACCTTTTATCAACAGTTAGGACAGTTTTTCGGACAAATTGTCATGATCCTGGGTTTTTGTTTAGATTCTGTTATCCTACTGACTTTGTTTTTAAAGTTTCTGTTTGTGTTCCTTGTTTCATGTTATTCATTCATGTCTGATCTGCTTCCTGTTTTATTCTGTAGATTCTCTCCAAGTGTCAGGTCTGGTTTTGTGTTTTCCTGCCTGTTTTCTGTCACACCTGTCTCGTTAGTCCTTCCCTGATCCCCGAGTCTTCCCTTCACACCTGTTCTGTATTAGTCCATCCTAGTGTTCCCCTTCACACTCTTGTTGTTAGCCAATCCCCATTTCCCTCCTTTCACCTGTGTCCTCCTACTCTATCTGTGTCTTGTTCTTATGATTAGTTTTCTGTGTATATGTACCTGAGTGTTTCCCTTTGTTCTGCATTCATCCCTGTGCCCATCCCTATGTTCTTGGTGTTGGTCCCTGCTCTGTTTCATGCCTGGTGTTCTGTTTGGATTTTTTTTTTTACCTGAGTTCATCGTATTATCCTGGTTGCTTTTCAGTTTAGTTTTTGTTCTACTTTCATTTGGACTTTTAGTCATTTGCCTGCTCTGGATGTTTTTTATCAGCTGCATTAAAGCTGCCTTTTTGTTACAACTGCCACCTGCCTGCTGCTCTGCATTTGGGTCCTCCCTGAACTGATTTTTGACACAAATCATGTTTTACTTATTTAAACATCGCAGGTAAGCATTGCAGGCAAGTCGTACGTGGTCTTGCACAGAGTTAAGTGTTATGTAGAAATATGGTTATTAGAGTGAGTTAGGTCAGTCTACATTTTGCCAACAGGTGAGTGCAAGTATGAAATAAAATGGCAGTATTATAGTTTAAAGATTTGTAACATTAGAAGTGTAGACTTTAACATAGAAAGGCTTCACCAATTTTCATAAAAAGAATTTTAAATAATGGATAAATGAAATTAGATAAAATGTTTGTGGTAGTTAAGACCTCACAAATTCAAATTTAAGACTATTTAATGATTTTCAAGGCCTTGTTTTTAGTTTTTAGGCATTTTAATACTTTTTAAGGTTCTGTAGACACCTTGCACCAACTATGTTAACAGCTCATGCTAAGGTAACGAAAACACAGCAATTCTTATTTTCAGGTATTTTACACTAAAGGAAACATTTTGATTAAGGTATATAAATCCACACTGGACCTTTTTAATAATAAACAGCCATTAGTTGCAGCTCCAGTTGAAAGTTATCAGACTTTAGAAAGTCTTTGGCTTTGAGTTACTGTATATTTGTTCTATTTGAAGAGAGAGGAGGAGCGCACACCAGGGTTGGAGAGTTGCTGAAAATACAAATTTGAAAAAAGATGTCAGGCGCACACTCTAAGACTCGATGCAAAAATATTTTCTTTTATTCAAGTACCAACGTTTCGACTAGACTGTCTTCGTCAGGGTTTTCATATTTGTTATATTTGTCAGTATAAAAAAGCTTTAACGTGCCCTTTTAACATGTTAATCAAATTCATCAATTACCAGATAACTTTAGGAATATTGCTGTCACTTAGATTGAGAAGTATATTCCTATAAAAAGTTGTGGGCAAATAACAGCGAAATCAAGCCCATCTTATCCTCCTTCCCTACACGGTTTCTATGGCAACAAGAGGATGCACCTCTGAAATCACCTCCATATTGGATTCCCTGGATTTTACAGGCTAAATATTTTACTTTGTTTTACTTCTTTTGGCCCTTTAAGAAATCTCTTTGAACATATAATAAAACTTTGAACTGGCAGCCATTTTATCATACCTAATCCAGATGCCTTAATGTTTCCATGCAGGACATGTTTGAACAAACAGCGCCCTCTAGTGACAAGATGTAACATCACAAACAGCTGAGAGGTGTAGTCTGTACTGACACAAGCTCTGTGGATATGTAGCCTGCTCATGTTGCCTCTATCTTCAAAGTGTGAGTCTCACCCCTTGTATCCCTGCTGGGAAACTGTACTGTATGACGATAGAGCCGCAGTGCTCAAAGCCGGGCAGGGTCTGCCAGCTGCGCATCACCGTCATGGTGCCCTCCGGCTGGGTCCCCTTGTACTCTCCGTGGTATGTGTAGCATATCGGACACGCCGGTTTAAACTTGAAAACAGAGTCGATACACGCGGAGCAGAAAGAGTGACGACACTTTAACGTTTTCTTCTCCTGAATTTTGTCCAAGCAAACGGCGCAGTCTTCCGTACTTTTACGGACTCCACCAGTGTTTGGGGTGTTTGCCATTATTTTTCCGGTATGTGACGACAAGTCTGTTGCCTTTCCGTGTATGAATGCACGAGGGGTTGTTATATGTCCGGTGATATGTGACGTCAGAATAATGAAAGAACCACATCCATGTGTAAGGAAGTGGGGCAAACACTGACCTCTGATTGGTCTGAATTTGATACCAGTGATTTCTATGGAGACTCTCTATCATTAGCATATTTCATAAACCAAATATAAACAAGTGTTGCCCCCAGTGGATAAACTAAAGTACATTTACTATTCAATCTTGATTTACTTTAACACTGCTTGAGTATTTATATCCTATGGTACTCTATACAGTACAGGCCAAAAGTTTGGACACACCTTCTCATTCAATGCGTTTTCTTTATTTTCATGACTATTTACATTGTAGATTCTCACTGAAGGCATCAAAACTATGAATGAACACATGTGGAGTTATGTACTTAACAAAAAAAGGTGAAATAACTGAAAACATGTTTTGTATTCTAGTTTCTTCAAAATAGCCACCCTTTGCTCTGATTACTGCTTTGCACACTCTTGGCATTCTCTCCATGAGCTTCAAGAGGTAGTCACCTGAAATGGTTTTCCAACAGTCTTGAAGGAGTTCCCAGAGGTGTTTAGCACTTGTTGGCCCCTTTGCCTTCACTCTGCGGTCCAGCTCACCCCAAACCATCTGGATTGGGTTCAGGTCCGGTGACTGTGGAGGCCAGGTCATCTGCCGCAGCACTCCATCACTCTCCTTCTTGGTCAAATAGCCCTTACACAGCCTGGAGGTGTGTTTGGGGTCATTGTCCTGTTGAAAAATAAATGATCGTCCAACTAAACGCAAACCGGATGGGATGGCATGTCGCTGCAGGATGCTGTGGTAGCCATGCTGGTTCAGTGTGCCTTCAATTTTGAATAAATCCCCAACAGTGTCACCAGCAAAACACCCCCACACCATCACACCTCCTCCTCCATGCTTCACAGTGGGAACCAGGCATGTGGAATCCATCCGTTCACCTTTTCTGCGTCTCACAAAGACACGGCGCTTGGAACCAAAGATCTCAAATTTGGACTCATCAGAACAAAGCACAGATTTCCACTGGTCTAATGTCCATTCCTTGTGTTTCTTGGCCCAAACATATCTCTTCTGCTTGTTGCCTCTCCTTAGCAGTGGTTTCCTAGCAGCTATTTGACCATGAAGGCCTGATTGGCGCAGTCTCCTCTTAACAGTTGTTCTAGAGATGGGTCTGCTGCTAGAACTCTGTGTGGCATTCATCTGGTCTCTGATCTGAGCTGCTGTTAACTTGCCATTTCTGAGGCTGGTGACTCGGATGAACTTATCCTCAGAAGCAGAGGTGACTCTTGGTCTTCCTTTCCTGGGTCGGTCCTCATGTGTGCCAGTTTTGTTGTAGCGCTTGATGGTTTTTGCGACTCCACTTGGGGACACATTTAAAGTTTTTGCAATTTTCCGGACTGACTGACCTTCATTTCTTAAAGTAATGATGGCCACTCGTTTTTCTTTAGTTAGCTGATTGGTTCTTGCCATAATATGAATTTTAACAGTTGTCCAATAGGGCTGTTGGCTGTGTATTAACCTGACTTCTGCACAACACAACTGATGGTCCCAACCCCATTGATAAAGCAAGAAATTCCACTAATTAACCCTGATAAGGCACACCTGTGAAGTGGAAACCATTTCAGGTGACTACCTCTTGAAGCTCATGGAGAGAATGCCAAGAGTGTGCAAAGCAGTAATCAGAGCAAAGGGTGGCTATTTTGAAGAAACTAGAATATAAAACATGTTTTCAGTTATTTCACCTTTTTTTGTTAAGTACATAACTCCACATGTGTTCATTCATAGTTTTGATGCCTTCAGTGAGAATCTACAATGTAAATAGTCATGAAAATAAAGAAAACGCATTGAATGAGAAGGTGTGTCCAAACTTTTGGCCTGTACTGTACATCTACTACAGAGTAATATTGTGCTTTTTACTCCACTGCTTAAGCTATCTGACAGCTGGTTGCTAGGCCTTTATTTTTTACAGTGTGATATTGCTACTTTTCTACATAACTCTAGACAAGTAAATTTAGATAATGCTCAGGTTTGTGTGTATCAGCAATGTTTGTAATCAAGAGAGTCAACATGCCTGGATTATGAACACATGAGAAACACACCAATGCACATTTTTTAATCTGTAACTGTGATACTTTAATTATAAATGAGTGTATATGTCATCTATGTGGCCGCTAATCTGAATGTGTAATAGGTCACTACAGTGGTTCTGAACCAGGGTCCTTAAGGGAGTTCCAGGGGGTCCCCAGAAAAATGAAGAGTAGTTTATTTTCACTTTTTAATTCACTATATAAGCAATACCAGTGTAACAGTGACTATTCTGATCATAGGTTCCACTTCCTCCACAGGTGTCTCCACAGCTATAGTTGACATCTGTAGAATTCTGGCCCTAATTATATCACACAACCAAAATCTTTTCAGATGGAGCTCCCTGAAGCAAAATTATCGAATGGGGGTCCATGCTTTAATGTGTGTAAATTTAGGGGTCACTGACATGAAAAGGTTGAGAACCACTGGGCTATTATATATGTAAAACAGACGATTGAGTCCATTGTTTATTGGAAGTTTAGTATTTGCTTTGACAATGTGCGATAATTAGCCATACTTAGTTAATGTCTGGAAAAATAAGGGTATTAATTGGTAACTATCTGCTGCCTTTGTAAAACTACTCCATTTCAAGTATTGAGCAGGTTTGTTTGAAGTTGTAGTGTTTGAGAAGGCAAAGACAGGTGTACTTAAAGATGATTCTTCCTAAAT